TCGTGTCCAGTGTGTATTCAGAACTCAACTAATCACAGTGAACCATTGATTCCGAGAACTGTCCCGGATTACCCGTGGCAAAATGTGTCTGTTGACTTGTTCAAACACGAAGACAAGTGGTATATGGTTATTGTGGATCACTACTCAAGATACTTTGAAGTCGAGGAAATGCATCGAATGAGGGCTTCAGATGTGATTCGGGTTTGCAAAACCACATTTTCACGTTTTGGAATTCCTCAACGTGTTTATTCAGATAGTGGGACACAATTTCACCATATTGACTCAAGTGAATTTAAATTGTTTGCAAAGGAGTGGGGGTTCTCCACATTCAGAAGTAGTCCCCACCACCATCAGGGAAATGGGGCAGCTGAAGCAGCTGTGAAAGTAGCAAAAGGGCTAATGAAGAAAAACAAGGATAAATTTGAACTTGCCCTACTTTCTTACCGGACCTCACCTCTTGAAACCGGCTTTTCCCCATCTGAACTTATGTTTGGAAGGAAATTAAGAGACAATCTTCCATCTACTTTGGTTGGAAATCCTGTGGAAAATAAGAATTTTCTTGAGAGGGAGAATAAGTACCAGAATAAGTACAAGATACAATTTGATAAACGACATGGAGCGAGTGGTTTAAGTGAATTAGAAGTTGGAAGCATGGTATGGATCACAGATCTACGTCGACACGGTAAGGTAGTCAGGAAATTGAACGAACCACGTTCCTACCTTGTGGAAACTGACAAGAGAACTATTCGCCGAAACAGGAAGTTCTTAGTTCCTGCACCGTACTACGGAGGAGATGGAATTCTTTCAAACTGTTCATCCATGGTCCTTAATCGTCCATGCAACTCGCGTGATCGTCCAGGAGCTGGCACAGTAACCCGTTACGGAAGGTCCATTAAGAAACCGAGGCGGTACTGAGGTTCATAAAGATGTGGACATCTTGAAGCGGGATGTTGTATTAAGTCTGTTCCTTTTATCATGTGTTTAAATATGTTTGTTGTCAGATGTTTTTGTAAACATTAGTTAGTTTGAAAATAGAGTTTGTTCAAGCAAGATGTGTGAATAATATTCTTGTATAAGAAATAGAACACTATCTCACTATATTGAAAAACGTGGTTTTTAATATCATTGTTTCTGAATTTTTCCTCATAACTTGTTAAACGCTTATAGAATGAAATAACTACCCATTACAAAAGTTGTAGATAATTTTATGCCCTTTCCAACGATACCAAACAATTAATGTTTGAAACTACAATTAAAGCCAAGAGATTAAATAAACCGTTAACAAACACTTAACATGGTAGATAGTCCGGAAAATATTGCGGCTGGAACAATTTTTCAAATGCGTATAATTCACATACCGTTTAACGAACCGGGATGATTCTTTTTTTGTTTGTAAGATATTTTTTAAGCCTATCTTTTTTGTATTTACACTTTTGTTGTTAACCTACTATTTATTCCACAATATTAATAAATGTAGCCTACATTTAATTGTTATGTTTATTTTACTTTTGCTTATAACTTTTTGACAAATAGTAGGTTAACAACAAAGGTGTAAATACAAAAAAGATAGGCTTAAAAAATATCTTACAAACAAAAAAAGAATCATCCCGGTTCGTTAACCAGTATGCGAAATATACGCATTTAACGAATTGTTCCAGCCACAATATTTTCCGGACTTTCTACCATGTTAAGGGTTTGTTCACAGTTTATTTAATCTCTTGGCTTTAATTGTAGTTTCAAACATTAATTGTTTGGTATCGTTGGAAAGGGCATAAAATTATCTACAACTTTTGTAATGGGTAGTTATTTCATTCTATAAGCGTTTAACAAGTTATGAGGAAAAATTCAGAAACAATGATATTGAAAACCACGTTTTTCAATATAGTGAGATAGATATTAAGTTGACAACAAAAGTGTAAATACAAAAAACATTTTCTGTAAAATTATCTTTCAAACAAAAAAAGAATCATCCCGATCCGTTAAACGGTATGCGAAATATACGCATTTAAAAATTGCCCTAGCCGCAATTTTGATGACGTCATAGCTGGAAAACGAAACAGGCGTGGACTTGACACCCGAGTGGAAAACACTTCCTAAGACACCTATATTGAAATGCAAAAGCAAAATTCCCTATACTATACACGACATGCACACAGAACCCTAGTCAGGTCCTGGACTATCAGACGCAACAGACGCGTTCTTGGACAACGGGCCTTTTAGCCATCTGGTCCAGCTGATCTGCTTGTATGGTATAATCTGCTGGAACTTCTTAGTACGGGAATCATTGGTATTATCTTTAGTCAATTAACACGATAATGTTATCGAGGCGATAAGTTACCTATATAGACCCACACCTTATCATATCACTGTAAAATTTCCCTTAACAACAAAAAATAGTCAATTAAGATCGGTGCAGTGACGGTGACAGGTTACTTCGATTATTCATCGACTACTCACTACCGGATGCAGTAGCCGTAGTTATCACTGTTTATCGAATGACAACTAGTGATAACGGCTGTCGAGGTGCAGCGACTGCGACAGTTTATCCCAATTCATCGACTACGCACTACCGGATGCAGTAGCCGTAGTTATCACAGTTTATCGAATGACAACTACAGTGCTAACGGCTGTCGAGGTGCAGCAACTACAGTTTATTCCGATTATTCATCGACTATTCACTACCGGATCCAGTAGTCATAGTTATCACAGTTTATCGAATGGGAACTACAGTGCTAGCGGCTCGTGAGGTGCATCGACTACATTCATCGACTACTCAGTACCGGATGTAGTAGCCGTAGTTATCAGTTTATCGAATGACAACTACAGTGCTAACGGCTGTCGAGGTGCAGCAACTACAGTTTATTCCGATTATTCATCGACTATTCACTACCGGATCCAGTAGTCATAGTTATCACAGTTTATCGAATGGCAACTACAGTGCTAGCGGCTCGTGAGGTGCACCGACTACATTCATCGACTACGCACTACCGGATGCAGTAGCCGTAGTTATCACAGTTTATCGAATGACAACTACAGTGCTAACGGCTCGTGAGGTGCAGCGATAGCGACAGTTTATCCCGATTCATCGACTACGCACTACTGGATGCAGTAGCCGTAGTTATCACAGTTTATCGAATGACAACTACAGTGCTAACGGCTCGTGAGGTGCAGCGATAGCGACAGTTTATCCCGATTCATCGACTACGCACTACTGGATGCAGTAGCCGTAGTTATCACAGTTTATCGAATGACAACTACAGTGCTAACGGCTCGTGAGGTGCAGCGATAGCGACAGTTTATCCCGATTCATCGACTACTCACTACCGGATGAAGTAGTCATAGTTATCACAGTTTATCGAATGACAACTACAGTGGTAACGGCTGGCGAGGTGCAGCGACTGCGACAGTTTATTCCGAATATTCATCGACTATTCACTACCGGATGCAGTAGCGAGTAGCAGTAGTTATCACAGTTTATGGAATGACTACAGTGCTAACGGCTCGTGAGGTGCAGCGACTACGACAGTTTATCCCGATTCATCGACTACTCACTACCGGATGCAGTAGTCATAGTTATCACAGTTTATCGAATGACAACTACAGTGCTAACGGCTGTCGTGGTGCATCGACTACATTCATCGACTACTCAGTACCTGATGCGGTAGCCGTAGTTAATACAGTTTATCGAATGACAACTACAGTGCTAACGGCTGTCGAGGTGCAGCGACTACAGTAAAGATAACCATGACTAGAACACTGTGAGACATAGGCGTTAATGTAGTGAGATAAGACACACTCGCCGTTTGTTTACCGCTAGCTCACGCTTCTCCGATGAGCAATCGATGTGTCAGATAACTTTGCTGGAAGTACGGGACATATTTTGTATCAAGCCTTACGTACGATGCCATAAATTGGCTGGTGGAATTAGGAAATTTGTCACCTTGATAAAATAAATATAAAGTACTTGAGCCAATACAACAATAAACGACGATAAATATATACATACATAACGTGCTCCTTAAACTTTATGGAAAACATTAATGTGGAATTAAAGGCACACGAACCTGGCATACTACGATTGAGACCTTCTTACGACTCTCTCATAAATTATATTTGTTTTTTTTGTTAAGCTCTGGCATGGCTTGTTTTCCTGAGATTACGTAACGATTTTATAAAAAGTTGTATGTTTAGTTATGAAAAAGTATATAATAATATATTAACTATTAATTAAATATTCTAATTGTGAGCACGTAATGTGGAAGTAGCGTCCCGTCCTGATAGTCAACGTACCAATACAATAAACAAGTCAGTATTGGTGAGTATTTGGTGAATACTAAATTCAAATTTAAAGCTCTTTTATTTTTCAATTTGTCCAAATTTCTATAAAGTGATATTGTAGTGAAATGTATCGAATGACATGGGGAAAAGCACAAATACTTCTTTTTTAACGTTACAATGATATTTTTTTGTTGATCTAGGATATTTTTCCTCGGTAAATTCAGCGGACTTCTTAAACAATAAAAATTTACTGATGATGACATCGACTATTTTATGTTAGTTCCTTCTGCCCGAGAGCTAAAGATAGAAATTAAAAGTTAAGTTAGAAGATAAGAAGCTAAGAGCTAATTGAATACCAAAACGTGTCTATTGAAAATTTTCTGCACCAGATCGACTAGAATTATTGATTTCCTAAAATCTGCATGTACCTATTCATTATCCATTTCCAAAAATCAAATTTTCATGAGTGGAAATTTTAGTTTTATTGCACGAGATAGTTCCATGCTGACGTGGTTCTTACTCTTATCTATGTCTCTCGTCAAAATTCATCTATTCCTCGACGGGAATTTTAGTTTTATTCTGGATAGGTAGGTAATTTAAACACTGCGGATGTGGTGGGTTGGTACACCTGATGTGGGCTGTCCCGCCCCTTCCACGGTTCCTCTTCCTAGCTTCGCTTCAGTCAGTTCAGTTGAGCGCGCCAGTTGCTGCAGAGCGGACCTCACGTGCGAGTCGTGACGTGTACACGCGCGATGTATGTGACGCAACAATAACAGTCAGTTTTACTCATTATAATTATTGTGCGGTGATTATACAAGAATCTGTGATATTTGTGAACTGTGGTGTTTGTTAGATATTTTATCATGGTGTCAGTGTTGTGATTGACATGTATACGTATGCTGCGAGCGCGGGGGTGGGCGCGCACTACCCCGCCGCCCCACCTACGTATCTGCCGTCTCACCAACTCGCCGCCCCCGGTCTGGGGGTTGTACCGCCCCCGACGATGCCGGCCCTCTCGCCACACACTAAGCGTCGCAGGTAAACACCCACTTAAAGAGTATAATAGTTGATATTTTTTAAAATGGTAATTGAACGTGATCTTTATTGTTTTCCATTAAAAATTTAATGGTAAAAACAAACTTGTTGTTGGAAATACTAATTGACCACTTTAGCAAGCTGTGTGGTCATCAAAGAGAATTCTTAACTTACTGAATATAAAAAATTAATCCAGTCTAGCTCAAAATAAAAATAGCACTTACTTTTGGGGATGTTTGTTTGAATTTATATTAGGCTAATTTCCTTTCCTTGAGAATTTTCGATTAAAAATTATTCTAACAATCGCAATTTTTTAAACATAATTTTAAGATTTAAAATGACGATAAGCCTATGCGTAGTGAAATAAAATTGTTCATTGTCCATTTTCTTCTCAGCATCATCATGTGTTGGTGTCGTTTTAAAATACGTGCCGGCCCGTTCCAACGGCTAAAAACTCAGCACTGCTAAGAATTAGTTTTAATACAGTACCCCTGCCGCAGCAATCCATTTGCCTGACAATTAAATCTATTTAAATAACATTAGGTTTAAGAATACTTAGGTTTCCTGTTACAAGGAGGGTAATTTTTAGTAAAATATTAATAATTTTGTATGAAATAAATATATTTGCCAAGTTTGATCAAATATTCATAAACAAGCAAACTACAACAGTTTACTTAAATTCTCTACAAGAATAGAATAGTACCGCAACTTTAAATATAACATTCTAAATTATTTGTTTTTCAAGCCCCTTTGAAAGAGTTAAAAACTGGTAAATCTTGTATTCAGGGACAAAAATTAGATTATGAGATTTGTCTACAAAGGCCAAATAATGAAGGGTATTATTTTATAATCTGATAATTTTGATTCTGAAATAACGAAATAAGTTTAATATAACTAAAGATTAACTCAAATTTCAAATTCTTTGGCCAATTTGTTACTGAAAATTTTTACAAATGTATATAACCTAACAGGTTATATACAGGTTAGGTTATATACATCGATGATGGAAACTAAATATCCTAGTAACTTATAAGTAAAAAAATCATCGGCCATTAGCTAAACAATACTAAATTTAAAATGTGTATAAAAATATATTGTGGTTATTTTGCTTTGGATTGACTTAAGGCTTCAGCAAATAATATTTTTCCAATTAGATTAAATTACTAACGTTTTTATTTTATGCTACAAAATCGAACTATGCATCATTTAAGCTTCACATTGACACCCAAATTGTAAAAATCGCTAACGGGTGGAAAAGAAATGTTACGGAGAAACCCCTATTTTAAGTATGTTGATAGATATAGGCCTAACATGTTGTGGAAATTTACCAACCTATCTCAGTCTGTGAGAGGCAATATTTTTGTTATCATCAGGCTGTCCGTGTTAGCAGTTTTAGCGATGTTTTGCGATCCTAGGGATTCCCTATGAAAGAACTTAAGTATATTAATGTTAAATCAATATAGTTAAATGTAGCTGACAACAATATGTACTCGCAAGGAGACAACTAACCCCCTAGGCCTGAAGTCATGTGAAAAACAATTCCGGACTCTGCCTAGCGTCCTAGGACAAAAAAAAATGGAACCACTAATGTTTTTTTTCCTTATCAATTAAAAAACTATGCAAACTAAGATAGAGACACTTAATATTAGATCTGAGTTAAACCATTGATTATAATCTATGCATATATTAATACTCGCCTATTATAAAGTATGAATAGCCAACCGGTATTTTATAAACAACCTTTAAACACCATAAGTCAGTAATCAGACTTAAATTTATTAAGCTGGATATACACTAAACTTTGTAATATTGCTCAGCTTACAATTCGAAATCATACTTGAAAGACTAAATCATTTTCGGTAATTCTATACATGATACGTATTGAAGCTAAAAACGTACCTAATAGTTTAGTGGAGTAAACGATTCACTTTCTAATCCTTTCACACGGAAAAATATGTTTCATAGCATCTTGAAACCTTGAACTGACTCACAACGGATAAACTTAATTTAAATTACAGTATTAGACATTTTTACAGTTTGTATTACAATGATTTTCCTACAAATTTATTCTTTTTGCCACCGGCTTTTCAGAAATGTATTTACAACCAAAGTTATATCCTCATTTTGATTAAAAGGCACATTTAGCTCGGTTGCAGTGGTCTAAACGTGATTATAATCTTGTTTTATAATTTGAAAATGTGTTTATAATTTTATTTTTTAAATGACGTTTTTATAATCTGCTTTGCCATTCTATTGTGTCCGGTTGACGTCGGACAATCGATACTAAAGACAAAACAACAATCGATACTTAACTGTGTTTTAACATCTTCCATTTCGGTCAACAAGCGTATTTAGCTCGATTTTGAGTAAGCTATGTGGTACCCATAAACAAATATTTGTCTATGGTGGCACACAATATCCCAGGGTAGGCCCCATCGATCAAAATGAGACTGTGATATAACAACATAAATGTTATAATTTCGATTAGTAAGCAATGAGAAACACGGTGGCCCAAGGCATGGTCCCATCGATTAACAAGAATATTCAGCTCGATTTCGAGCAAGGTATGAGGTTCTCAATAGCCCAGAGTAGGCCCCTTCGATCAAAATGATACTGTGATATAACAACATAATTGTTCTATTTCGATTAGCAAGCATATTGTAGCTCGATTTCGAGCAAGCTATGAGATACACAATGGCCCGGGTCCCCGGCCACGGCGGGCTGGACGATTAGTTCCGACCACAGTTATGTTATTCGCAACGCTCTTCATATCATTATGACAGCATTTTTTCCCGCGTATTCGACATGGTTGGGACCACTGGCCTGGCGGAGAAGTACCGTTCCCGTGTACCATTAGAGGTACAGAAGTAAGTGAAATATTGGCAAAGAAATGTTTATTTCCCATGACACAAAAACTACGTTAAAGAAAGTGTTACAGAGAAGTGGTAAGCATTGTGATTTTTCGTCCCTGGTCGGTGAGAATGTTTTCATTTGGTGGGGGCAGTAAGTTGTATGGATTTTGACTTAGGAAGTATTCACAAAACCTGTCTGGTAATTATTTTCTTTCGGGTTTTCAAACTTAACTCAAGTTTTGACGAGGTTTACGAACTATACTGCTTGGCGAATGGCATCGTGCTGATATACATTTAATAAGGATGGATATTCTTGTGGAAAATATGTAGGCACCTAGACCTAGAGTATACTGTAGTTTCGTGGGAAAATTGTACCGTAACAGAATAATCAGTTGCTGTGCTGAGCACAATTTTAGTGCGAAAGTATAACATATTGCATTTTTTCAATTTCCCTATTCAAACTAGTGACGAATGTGCGCAATGTGGTAAAACCATAAAACCCACAGGGGTAAGGTCAGTGACCTATCTCATTGTGTCGTAAGTCGTATGACCTCTACAGGTACTCTACATCATTATCATGATATTTTGTTATGTTTTCCCCAAGCTGTTAACAGTGTTCCAGTTATAAGTTACAGCGCTGGTGTACGTATTCTTTTATTACGGAAAACATCTCATAGCTGACATTTAGGTAAAAATGTAATACACTGTGTCCCAAAAAGAATGGATCAAATATACAGCTTAATATACTTTTTGCTAAGGGTCATAGAAAAGTCAACAATGGCTAATTTTAAAGCGCGTATGTCGCTTATGTTCCGCTGTTTAAGGATAATTTCTTCGCATCACTTTTGTTCCGGGGGTCAGCAGGTATATTTTGAAACCGACCGAAACATCGCTTTTGTTCCGCGGATATCTCTCTTGTTCCGCGAGAGAGGGTGCTGCGCTCTTCCTCCCCCAAATCCTCTCTTTCCCTATCCTAATTCTTTCTTGAATATGTTAGGTGAAATTATTTAAATGTTTGATATTTTTTTTAGAAGAAAATGATAATTTAACGAGTTTTAAAGCTTTGAAAGAAAGAATTGGGAGGAGGGCGAAATAGAGGATTTAGGGGAGAGAGAGTGCAGCCCCCTCTCTTGCGGAACAAGAGAGATGTCCGCGGAACAAAAGCGGTGTTTCGACCGGTCCCGAAATCTACCTGCTGACCCCCGGAACAAAAGTGATGTGAAGAAATTAGCCTTTAACCGCGGAACAAAAGTAATACAGCCTTTAAAGCTGGAGTATTCATGTTTTTTTTTAGTACACTCATTGAGTATACATGGTACACTGTAACAGTAGGTATTTAGCCGTTCCACCGTTGTTAGCATGTTTGGAATTTCAAAACATACAGTTGCAAAATAGAGGTCTAGAGGAAAGCAAAGGGTATTGTCGTATTGAATGGTTTATAGAGACAAAATCTGTGGTGTAATTTTTGTCTGGTGGTTTGTTAAAGATCAAGTGTATCTATCGCTCGCCGATCGCAAACATAGATGAACTTAAAGCAAAGAGGAAGGGAATCCATTGGAAAAAAGTATTTAATAAAATACGCCACAATGTGTGGTCAGAGCTAAAACACCGACTTGACTTTCTTCGAGCAAATAACGTAGAACATGAAAAGGTTAAACGGTGAAACCATGGCAGGAAAAACTTGGGACTATAAGGAACAGAATTGTATATACAGTAAATTTTTATCATAAATAATAAAGTGTTTATGCCAGTTTACTTTTGATTTTATCCATTCTTTTGGGTCACCCGGTATGAAAACTTAATAGAACAATAGAATAACAGGAACAATGGACAATGGAACAATGTTTTAATAATTAAACCGAAGACTTAAAGGCTTTGTTTAATTTGCAACGTGATAACAAGTATTGTTCCCTACTCGTCACAAAAGTTCCATTTCGGGACTAGTAGTGAATGAAATATTCTTTAAAGCTATTATATACGGACTTGTCTATGCTCAGATAAAGTTAATTTGATTTTATTGCGTTTGTACATTTTGTTATAAACAGTTGCCGGCTAACAGCTATTTTCCGGACTAAATCCTTGCGTGGGAAGGTGCATTAAACAGAGAGGTGAAAAAACATTGCAATCAGCTCTGGAATTTCAATGTCAAGT